CGGGAAACGACTTCAGACAAATACTAACACCGAGAAGCCGAGTAGAATGTTACCGGTGTCATAAGCTTGGACATATGCAATGGGATTGTAAATTAAGGATGTCCTCTCCATCTAGGAATCGTTCCAAACGCTTTTCAAGATCTAGAGACGCCAGCCCTAATAACAGAAAGGCACCAACTAGTATGGAGGGGCGGATGCTGACTAGTGATGACGAAGCCCCCAGGGTGGATTGAAATTCGAAGGACAAATTAATGGAGAAATTAAAACCATCACTTTTGATACGGGTGCTGAAGTTTCTATAATTAGAAGAACATTAGTCAAGTCTTGGGCAATCCAACCGCTCACTAGAATCTTGTCACTACGAACAGTCACAGGCGAATCAGGTGACCAGTTCAAGGAGAAGCAATGGTTGAGCTTACTTTTGGATCTACCACCTTTATGCACAGAAAATTAGTCGCCGATATAGAGGATGATTTTATTTCGGAAATGGATTTCATCGGCCAACATGGTTTCTTTTTCGATCCTTCTATGAACATCCTTAAATTTGGTAATGAAGAGTTTGTCCTAACTACACAAGAAGAATCTCAAGCCGTTAAGATCCTGGCGACAAACTCGGTGAGGATTCCTGGAAGTACTGAGAACATCATTTGCGGAAAATTGGGAAGAAACCCTGGGTGCTGCGTTGGACTAACACATAATTTTTTGGAGATAAACCAGAAAAATTTCTCGTTGGAAAGACTCTAGTAAGAACGAATCGAGACATTATGATTGAAATTGCGAATGTTTCTCCTGAAACAGTAAATATAAAGGAAGGAGATAATATTGGAACTCTCGAACCAGTTAAGCAAATATCGAACTGTGATCTATCAGACAAGCGACATTTTGTAAAACCGGAATTGGATACAGACACCTTGATGCAGAATCTGGCGAAATCATGGGCGTGGAGTTGATCGGGACGATCAACCTCACGAGAAGGGGAGCATCCGCCAGGGTGTCAAGAATCTAACCTAAAATAAAGAAAATACTGATCTATTCAGAAAAATACTATCGCGTTTATTCTGGATTGTACAAGAATGGATTACGGATATGTAAAGGCCGGTATTAGTTAGTAGTTTTTAGGTTTAAGTTTGACTGTGATAGGAATCAGATAGTGAATTTTGTAAGAGTTGTAACTCTTGGTATTTTTGCAAACGCATATTTTCAAAGCTTGGCGCTTATGTTTGCCTAAATTTTTTTGGAGCCACGCCCAATTTTTGTAAGGAATTTACCTGTAACATACCCAAACGTTACGCGACTATCCTTTTTTGCGGGGCTAAAATAGTAATTTTTTGTGCAACCAGCCATCAAATAAGTGGCATTTTGTGGCCCTGAAGGCCGGAAAGTATCAAATTTCGCATTCAAATCAGGGCGGGAATAGCTCCTATGCGACCCTGTAGTAGATATAGATAATTCATAGAAAAACCTTATTAGGATATTGTGAAATAATCTTTATTTCTATTAAGGAAAATTCAACAAAGTACGTACATAAACTGCACCATAAAAAATAGATATTGAGAATATTTACGAATAATAATGGAAAGTACGGTATGCAGAATAATTATTATGAAAGGGAAAATTGAATAATGGTTATAAGATATAAAATCTTCTCTTGAAAAAAATAGTTTGGACATGCCTTGGGGGGGGGCTGCAGCCCGGCAGCCCCCCCCCCTCTGGATACGCCTATGACCTGGATAAGTTTCAAAAAAATTTGCAACCTACTGAAAAAAACTTTAGGCCAAGAGAAATCGAATGGCATAAACCGCAGGTAGCGAGCACACCTGATTTAAAAGTTATAAGCATTTAAAATGAGTAACTCTGGGCTGGGACACCCTGTATAATTGATGGGTGAAATAGCCTACCTAACTCGCCTAATTTGACCACTGGAACATTCTAAAAGTAGAAAGTAGCTCATTATCATAATAATCATAACATATACTTTCGAGATATGACAGGAACCAGCCTTAATATAGGTAATCCGCATCAAAAATTTCTCACAATAAAATTATACAAGGGACGATCCAATAAAATAACTCCGGGTAACAACCACCAAGTTTACGTCATCGAAGACGCTATGAATTCAGTGTAGACATTCCACTACATGAATTAGAAAAAATCCTTATGTTACATTCCCAATGATTTTAAATTTCGCGCCTGTTTGAAGATTGGTAAGATCCTATGATGCATGCGATGTTGCCAAAGTTCGCTTGACATTTTGTTTATTAAACAATTGGTATTCAAATGAGGGAAAGTGCATACGAAATAGGGTCAAGATTTTCATTATAAATGCCGCCTAATATCCCACCTTCTCATTTATCCTATACATGAAAATACATTCTATGTTAGTACGTTGCTATTTATGACTTTTTCAGAAAAATCTCAGAAATTTTCGCAATCGAGATAAAAAATTTGAGATGTTTTTTGTCGGTTTGGTTCACTTTTCGCAAAGTTATATTATTTAGGTATTTGAGCTTACCCATCTATTTCATTAATTTTCATCACCGAAAGTTAATTGCAATGCGTTTTCCAGTGAAATGTGGAAATTTCTTACTTGTCTTATTTCCGCACGTATACCTGGAAAAATCTACACAACGATTCTGGGAAAACACATATGGCGAGTGTATCGAACGGATATGGGACTGGGAGCAAGGAAACGGCTAAAACCACAGCTTTAGCATGAAGTTTCCACTATATATTCAAGATCGGCGGCATCTATACATCAGATCGAATCGTAGGGTGTGTAAAGAATACAAACTGAAGTTAACGCGTCTAGAGCCGAATAATATATCGGGGGCACTGAATGTAGTAAAATAAATTACTGAATTTTATGTGTTTCTAATACAACAATGAACCGAGCATATCGACAATAAAAATAAAATCAATTTAAAAAAATGCAACCTGTGCAAAGCTTTGCATCAGCTACAATCTTTCCATACATTATGATTCCATACACCTATACAATCAAAAAAGCAGTAATAGAGAAAGTACCTACTAAACAAATGATTTCGCTAATTAGGGCATGGCAGTTTTTTGTTTTAACCTACGTTGACAACTTTTCGATATTAACACACGATTTGTGTCCAAACAATTTATTATCCGGATTTCAATTTTCTTTCTGGATTCAATAAACGAATTAATAATTTATCAATAAACAAAAAAATATTAAACCGTAATTGAAATTACTGAAACCCCCGTTATTTAACAAATTTCGGATTTTCAAATGTCCAAAAATGATTGTTTCGTTTGGTAAATACCCTCGTAAATTTTTATTCATTTTTGTCCAAATAAAAAAAAAATAGTGGGATGGTTTTGAATTTTAATCATCCCACAAAATTCAATACGCCTCTGCATGGGCATCCCCTGGTAAAAGAGTTTGTTGGTTGACGAATATAAATGGTTGCTTTTTTTTTTGCCTGCGTTATGGGTAAACATTAAAATACACATGAACATTTATTTGGTTTTCTCCATTTTCATTTTGTGGTTTCGTGTATTTGCTATGTTCTCTAACTAAGCCATGATTATTAAATATCGAAACAAAACAAGTACGCTTTCAAGATAATTTAAAAACGGTACAATTTTTTTTTATACAGGTATGTATACCTTTTAATTTTGTTTTTTGCGTTCATGGAGGGTAAAGATAGCATGACATAATAATTTATTGAACCGCATCTTTAGGATCCTAAAGTAAATTTATGGCACCCCATGTATCGAAAACTAATTTGAAATATCATTTTTATTTCTTCCGTTGTTATTATTCGCTTCATTCAAAACAACGGAATTTGAAAAATGAGTTTTCACTATTAGAAAATTTAAAACAGTAGTAGTGCCATAGCCAAATATCATTAGAACGTACTTATAATCCGAAAACACGATAAATGGGCTCTTTCACTAAAATTTAAATACGTAATTTAAGTATAAAATCCCAAAGAAGGGACTATTTTAGGCATATATACCAAAAAAAAATGTTCTATAAGGTTAAATAAGTTTTTTACAGGCATTTTAAACTAGCAAAATTCAAATTAATTAAAAACGCGCCGATTTACTGACGTCGCATAAATATTTTTCATTTCGCTTGTTGTTGCAAGGAGCTGACCGCCTGAGCTGTATTTGCCCTGTAGTAAATGCAGGTAAATGTTCGAATGCGCTGTTGTCGGTGGTGACTAAATGTAGTGCAACGTAAAATAAATAAATAAAACTAAACATAAAAAATTATATTAAATTGTGTTTAAGCATAATTTCAATAAAAATATTATAAAATCTTGAATCCATAACTAATTAATTTAACTACTTTTCATGATATTTTGGGAACATTTCAGAATTAAATCTATATTACAAATTTTCAATGTTGACAATTAGTGGCAACACGGTCAAATTGCGAGCTGCGACGTCATGGAAATAAATTCTGGGTTTTTATTTGGAGGTATTTCTTTTTTTTCTGTTTTCTCAAGAAGGACTATGAATTTTTCAAAAGTAAAAATACAGAAAATTCTGTTTTAGTTGCTTTATCCAAATATGCCAATTTCGAAAATTAGTGAAAGAGTCCATATTCAGGTTTATTTTGGAGGTCCAACTTTGTCACTGTTTTCGTGTAGCGCTGGCAACGTTGCACTTGTGAAAATATGTTTAAGAGAAAAAAAATGACCTTTAATAGCGGTATATCATAAATTTCCCGATTTTAGAACTTTAATAGGATAGGTACTCAACAGGAATCAACCAACCTGCATAGTACTAATGACAATAAAATTAACATAAATGCCAAATCAGTAGGTACCTATAACCGTTAGGTAGGTTGTTTAAATAAAATACGGCAATTGTGTTAATATAAAAGATATACCATACCATGCTTGGTGTGGTACCAACAGTAACCTAGAGCTAGGTCCAGGTGTGACTGAACGGTTGCGGTTCTGATGGTTCTGGTTGCGTGTGGTTGGTCGTGCTCGATGGGTGTAGCCACTTTTCTGGGACTATGACTGCAAAACGTTGCGGGTTATGGTGACTAACTGAGTGTTAGCCAGGCGGAAAGCGGAAAGCCCGTGTGCGAAGTTTCCATAGCGCTGGTGATTGGATGTCGAAGTGGAAGCTTGGGATGTCTGATAGGAGTTGGCCATGACAGAGGGACCGATTTCAGGAGCTTCATCGGCAACTTCAGCGTGTTCCTCGAATGACTGGTTTTTGATAAGGAGCACCAGGCGGCTAGTGGGCTGTGGTAGCAAGTCAAGCCATTTGACTCGTAAAACGTCGCCACCAATGCGGGTGCCGGCCAGAGTACGCATGTGTCGAAACAGCTGGGAAGGTCTTTTGTCACCAGGCTCAACGCCCTTGAGGAGCTTGTGGAGCTGCGTGTCCGGTGAGTCTAACATGCGTGCCAAAATGGCCGCTTTTATGGCCTGGTTCTTGTCTGCAGTTGGAGGGGACCCCATGATGTCTGAGACATCTGCAATTGTACCGCACTTCATAGAGCATTTCAGGGAGCTGCAGGCTTTGGATGGGTGGAAGCCTAGACAATCGTAGCACACTTTGTGTTTAACAACCATTTTGTGACGCTGTCGTCTCGCTTCATTGTGGTACCGTAGACAGTGGGCGACCTAGTGTTTCTCTGAGCAGAGGACACAGGCGGATGATAATCTGGTATACTGAATTGCTGATTCTTGGCAAGCGCGTAATGTGCCCTGGCGCGTGATGATGACGGAGTTGAGGTAGTCTGCTTTACATTGGTCGAGTTCTCGTTGGATTTGAGCATAGGAAGCCTGGGAAAAATAGAGTATACTAGGTTGCCCGGTAGGTATTGATAAGGTTTATTTTTGTGGAGGAATTCTGGTGCAGGTGTAACTCAGCTATGAAAGTAGTCTTGAAAACGTCCAAGATCCAGGATGATTAGGTTGCATCTAGATGTTCTAGTCGAGGTTAGAACCATTCCGGAGGCAGTGCTTAGGGAGAGGCTGCAACCGCCGCGGTGCCAGTTTTCTTATGCGCGGGCCAGTTTTCTTGTGGGCCCGTCATCCACGAATCGAATGGTTTGTTCATCTGAAAGCAATGACCACTAATGGATGCAGCTACGAGCTACGACAGCTTGATTCTGGGTAGAGTTGAGTGGAATGTACCTATGTAGAGAGAGATGAAAGGCAACATTTAGAGACCGTACCGAGGAGATACACGATCGTTTCTCGTATCGTGGACGAAATCCTGCTGGTATGATCCAAGGATGCGTAAATGTAAAAACAAATTGAAATGGACAGTAATAGCATGCGACCTTCGGAATCATTCGGGAGAGGGAGAGCTCGCCCAGTATGAATAGTAGACAGTACATTTGGTAACATACCAGATTGTGTAAGGCTTCATGTAAAAGTACAACGCTGATATCCGATGCAGGCTTGATGGAAACTGATTGCCCTTGTACCGGTGGAAGCGCTAGCAAGCTCGTAGCCCTACTGGGCGTTGCGGATAGACAAGTAGTTCCCTGAAAAACTTCACAAGCAAGATTAGCGAGGTTTATACTGAGATGAGCCAAACGCGAGCTGCTGTCGTTTGTTGACAAACTCCAAAAATGAGCTATTTTAGCTAATGAAACAATAAGCGAGGATAATCAATGAGCTGAGAGCGGCAGGTTAGAGGCGATTCAAGTCTCACAACGTACTGGTGCCATCAGGATATGACCCGCAGGATAGGGCCCCTTCAGCAGGTAGAATATTGGCCTCGAATCTAGGTTTGTTTTTTGTTCGGTTACGAATCCGCAGTTCTTCTCAAAACTCGGCACTCTTGAAGTGCTTGACTCTTATCTACCTGGGTTGGAATCTCTATGACCTTTGTTAAAGATTGGAACCGGTACCCTCGTACCGGTTCAATCTCAAGGAAATGCATTCATTTATGTTTTCGCAGCGTTTATTCTCTTCAAAAAACGGACCAGTTTTTGAATTTGCTTTTGTAAAAGGAAAGAGAAAGCTTTATTTAAATAGGTGATTATTTTCGTACCTATTTCAACACATATTGCCAATAAACAGGTTACAAATCCATACCTGAGGAAAATAAATTTGAAAATTGCGTCGTAATACGTTACGATGTATAAACTCTTGGATAAAGATATCCGAGATTTACTGCTGATAATGGAGCACTAACATTTTAGTAACGATCGTAAAGCTTAAGATATTTGGGGGTTCTCTATTGGGTTTACCAGTATGATATTTAGCTAAGTATTAACTATTAAATCAATATTGACTTAAGCTTTTAATATATAAAGATATAAATTTCTATAAAAAATATTAGAGTAGCAATTCTTACCTATATTCCCAACATTTTACAGGTTGACGAAGTATTGTGAGTTAATACATCTTCTCATCATCATAGCTCGCTAACGATCATCTGTCGGTTATTTGATAGGTAAATGAACCTATCTGAACTCACAAGTTCTCCCACATTGATTGCAAAGATAATCAATGGTAGCGGGGTGTTGTTGTGGGCCAGATCTTATCAGACCGATTGTCCTCCACATACCTTCGTCTTATCGTTCAGAATACTGCGAACCTTGATGGATACTTCGTAGCAATGCGCATCTATCCGTGGCCGCAACTTGTCTTGAGGTCTTTGAGGACATCTTTGTATCATGTTAATTCCCCTCCCTGTGGCGTTATTCTTGAGCAACAAGGATAATAGCAAAGTAATATTTTGACAGTCGCAAATTTTTGAAAACAACGAAAATTTACCATAACCTAAAAATAAACGCATAAACTTGGTGTTGGGAATACATGCCTTCTTAGTGAACGCAAAACAATTTCCGATGCACGTCATAGATTTTGAGTCATCAGTTATGACGACAGCGTTGACAGATTGTGATGGAAGTAGCGATGTATTTTGATTTGCATAGAACTTAAGAATTGAACATTCCAGTATTGTGTTAGGCATTTTGTTGTCAAATCTAAATCTCTATTGGTTAAAAAGGGGTAGAAAAATGCTAATATAATGTCATCCAAAGCATTCTTCACATTTGCGCATGGTTTGAAAAATAGTTCCCCTGGTTGCGTTGGGCATTGTCCAGTTGGTAATAAGTACATAATCTGCTTAGAAAGTGGTGAGTCTAGAATACGGACGACATGAACTGCCTAGCGAAGCTGATATTGGATGAACATTGCCTCAATGTTGGAGAAATTAGATTCCCCGATGATACTGTTTTTCGCATGGCGATCCTGCCAGTTTTTTTTTTCAAGTATGCGGTGGTACTTTTCAAGCACCTGGGGTATCGCACAGATTTCACAACTTTGGAAAAGTGTTGGTATGTAGACCAAAAGCTTAGTTTTGTCACTTATGTCGTGGTTCTCAAAAACCTTTTTTAAGAGACGTCCAAATGCTGTGCTGGCGCATTTAGTCGTTGTTGAATGATGGCGTCAATATTTAGATTTGGAAAAATAACTATTAATTAGGGAAAGTATTCTATGTTTTCTAGAGGACCTTCATTGTCAGCTGGACCTGGTGCATCAGTACTTAGCATAGGCTGGTATAAGATTTTCGTCTCCTTCGTGATAAATTCCAGACCAATGAATTTGTACCTTTTTTAAATGCATTTTGATTAGTTTGTAGGTCTTCCTACGTGTTTGCCAGGAAGAGAGATTTTAATGTCTACCGGCAGGGCTTCTTTGAAATGGCGGTGTACGGTTCCTACAAATTAAAAAAATAAACTTGGCTCAATGACATATTCTTGATCCACTCCAGGGGTGATCTAAAAGTCTTCTTTGTGTCCGTTGTTGTTGAGCACAGTGGCTTTGATGCTGTCACGAAGTGAACCAAAAATGTTCGTGAATTTAGAATGGGAGCAATGTTTCTGTGGCGTGTGGGATCTCAGTTTTTCATATACCTAGGTATTGCCAATAAACCTGTGTGTTTGTTCTACTAGCGTACGGCCCCAAACACCTGGAAAAGGTTATTTGTCTCCCAGCAAATAAATTTTTTTCCATTGTTTGATTGCTTTTTCAATCTCCTGATGGGAAGCGAAGACAGTCAGATGGTTTTAAATAGGTTTTTGAGGGACTCTGTTGTGGACAGCCGGATCTTTGATAAGCTAAGTACCATCTCAAGATGATAGTAGATCTGGACCTTTTGATGACGGACCATATGTTGCTTTTGTGGCGCTGAAGAAGACTCTGGTAATGTAAGAGGCTGCCAAGTTTTCCAAATTAATTGTTTCCATTGTTTACCACTCCTTTTCCAATTTTCTAGTTTTTCGTCGTACTTCAACCCCTTTGCTCGAAAATAGGTTTGTTTTTTGTCCTGAATCTAGGTCCCTTAGATATTGTAGTTTTTCTCTTCTGATCTATGACGTTGTGAATTTCTTTATTGTTCTCAAAAATCAATTCCGGGCGCTTCTTTGTGATAACCAAGGAAAGCTTTCTTTCCTTGGCGTGTGTTCGAATAAAGAAGGAAACAATTTGTATTTCATACAAAATTCAAATTTATTGAAAAATCAGGGTAGTAGTGCGCTTTCGGCTTTCGCCATCATCAGTACTACTCGTCAGGTTCCGACACAGAAGTTAAAATTGCAAAGAGACAGCGACGACGAGGATAAAAAACATACAGATTTGTACACGATAAAACGTCACAAACAATCTGAAACTTATTTAAAATAATTCTCTCGAGGACCAGAGAGTTCAAATATAAAATTTCTTTGTATTTTATTTTAAAAATTGTGGTATTTAAATATTCTTTCAAAAGATTTTGACGGTCAGTTTTTATGATTCTACGTGTTGACTCTGTTGACTGGGGCTTTATGTAGACTCCTAACAGCATAACTTTGTCTGATGGAGGTTGATATTTAAAAAGCATTCTTTCACTTATACCGATCAAAAGCTTATAAAGATGATCAAGGACCCAGTGGGTTCAGGGCTTATTTCCATTCTTTCCTTTACGAAAATGTAGCCTCTGCTATGTTATGTTAGTTGAACCCCGCATGCGCGACTTATTTTACTTATTAGTGTCGATGTGCGAGCGGACATTTCAGGAGGCAATGTTTAATGTGGGTCACTTCTGAATGCGGTAATGGAGTCAGAGAGTGAAAAGGCTGATTATGTTTAGGGCACTTTGTTTTGCTGCTCCCTTCTTATGCAGGGCGAGTAGAGAGTATTCTGTCGTAAACCATTAAAATTGAAATTAGTCAATATCACAAATATAACTCCGCTTGTCATATCCAACTTTTTCATGGTTTTACGCTTGGCTTGTCAAACTCGATTCGTTCGTGTTTTCTGGGTCTTTTCTGGGAATAATTTTAACAAGAATCAAGTCATTAAAACTACGACTTTTGGATATCTCAAAGCTGTTGTGCCTCTAGGAGTTCCTAGGATATATTAATAGATAAGCCGCCTGTAACAAGGGTTCAGTTGCTGTGGGATAGCCGCCTCTAACATGGAATGTGACGCTTACACACTACAAGAAACCACAGACTATGAAGAAATGTACGGAATTTGAATAGAAAAAAACTAGTCTAGAATAGGTATTGTCAGATGAGTCCGATGAAAATCCATATTTTGCGTTGTTTAGAAATAATATGGAAGAT